AGTATGGCTGATGGACGGAGAGACTCAAAATAAATACTCTTATTTAATGAAATTTAATCTATTTGAGTGGCAACCACCAGAACCTAAACGAATTGGTTTTAACTAGAGTCGGTCTGGTTCTTGACTAGAGTCGGCAGTTCAATTTTAGCCAAACAGAGCGAATCTAAAAAATTCTCTTTTCCATGAAAATTCAGCATTTTGCGATCCTCTAGCCGCAGCGAAAATAGCACCAGCTGGGCCATATGACTCATGCCCTTATGACCATCTACATACATCTACAAAGTTATGCCGCTTTTCTTTTGGCTTTCTCGTGTCGTCTGCCTCGACCCCGAATGACGTCATTTCTTTAGTGGCAAAGTGTGTCACTTGAAAAGTACACATACTTGATTTCATCCATAAGGGAAGCCTTAACACACCCACACACATACATATAGTATACCTACATATAAACAATTGTGCTCAAGCGTTATTACGTTACATAATATATGTAAGTAACAAATGGGGGTGTGCAGCTCTTTGTTGTTCGAAAAGTGGATGTTGCCATTTACGATAGTTATTCCTGCGAATAAAAAAATGTGTATATTGTATTTACTTGTATATGTATGTAAGTATATCTGTACATACATTCTTACATATATGCGCAATGCGAAATTCTCCAATGGTAGACAATGAAATATTATGGTAAGAATTTTTATCTTGTTGACTCACTGCGGCTAGCCTTTGCGCTTCCTTAAATTTGATATGTTCGAATGTGTGAGTGTATATCGTCACCTGAAATGCAAAAAGACGTAACAAACATCATCGTTGAAATGCAAAAAGTCATAACTAATAAAAAATTCAAAATTCACTTTTTTATTTATATGCTGGATTTCATCGAATTTCAACTCCAAACATCATGTTATGAAAAAAGATATTAAAATATTAGTCATGACTTTTTCCATTTCATTTACGATGTTCTTACGTCTTCTTTCAATTCAGGTGACGATATGTTTGTATATTTAAATAAGTAAGTGGCTAACCTGTAGGAAAATTCAGCAAAGAGTCTTATTATACAGGCCTGTGAAATTTAAAATGTTTACCCCTTCCAATAATTCAATTATTATTGTTTTTTTAATATATAGGTATGTTAAATAAAAATATGGCTTGGTTTTTTTCATCACATCGAGATTTATTTGTCTTTATGGCATGCATATTTTAGTATTACTATTTATTAACAATTTTCATGAAAAGCCAAAAATTAATTAACTACAAATTAAACTTTTGCCTTAACCTGTTATTTTTTAGATAAAAAAAATAGCCCTAAATAGACTAAGTAAATATGAAATACTTATGGCAGTTCGTAGTTAATGCGCGGTAACAGTAAAAAAAATTAAAAAGTAATTTTTCGGAAAACTTATGTGATCAAATTTTTTTTCATAGCTTCGTACATAATGCCTATCAAATTGCTAACTAGTTTTTAAGGGGCAAACCATCGTGGGTCGTTGTAATGAAAGATCTGATGGCATGCATAAGAGAAAAATTTTTCTTAAAAAAAAAATTATAACATCGTTAAAAATACCCCTAAAGATTACGTAAAACAGAAAGACTTATAGAAATTCGAAGTTAACGCGAGTAGTACGCGGTGAAAATAAGAAAAAATAAAAAAAAGGAATTTTCCGGAAAACTTACGTGATGGACTCTGTACTCAGTACTAAAATTTCTAATTAGTTGTTTAGGGGGGAAACCAGCGCAGGCCAGTATCATTGAAGAAAATGTTCCCTATTGCCGTCATCAAAATGTATGTATGTAAACTTGTCGAGCTCGCCTCCGTTGTTTAGGTGTGACTGCACTTCAATTTTTCTTACGAAGTTGTAGCAAATTTCTTAGAAATTAAAAAATTGTATTCCATCAAAAATTTCCATTTGGGGTATTGCTCAATGCTGTACACACGAGCCAATGGTAAAAAACAGTCAGTACCTATTTAAATACGTAACCTGTGCAAACATACATATGCATATGCCCATATACATAGATAGCTTGAAAAATTCTTTGAATGTCTCCGATTGTTTAAATTTTGCATTTGCTACCTATTGATTGCACATTAATGTTCATCAATTATTTATGCACACCCCTGTGTATTGCATGTGGGTGGGCATTCTATGGCTTTATTGAGATGCAGTTACATACATAAAATGTGTAAATATTATCGGTTATATGTACATATATGCCTACTCATGTACATACCACACACTTAGTGCGAGCAGATCGTCATGAATTGAAGCTTTTTGATGCTAATGAGCAAGATAGAACTTAATTATATTTCGCTAGCTTAGAAAGAAAAGTTGCTAAGTCCCATTTTAAAAATTTTACAGCAGAGGAAAAAATCTTCCTATAGCCATTTTCTTTAACTATTTCGCAAGACTTTGAATCAAACATTTTGCGCGTTTAAAGCAAAGCAAAACTCCATAAGAATCAGAAGGATTCGATATTTAATAAAAGATTTCGTATTATTTTCGCCTTATCGGATTTGTGGTGATTCTTTTGGACTTAGCAAATTTTCCTTTTATTGCTTATGAAGAGGAAAAAATAAAACAAGTACCTTTATAATTTTCGAAACGATGCGTTTTCAATTTCTCTAGCCTCCTATATCAAAATATGAGTTTTCATAAAAAGTGGACTTAGCAACTTTTCACTCTAAGCTAGCGATTTATTAAAAGGTGCCTATGGGCATGAAAAAAATATTGTAAATAAATAAAAATTTATTGCCATTTTGTAAAAACAGCAAAAGTTGTCTATAACCTTTTTGTTACTGAATTTTTGCGACCGTTACATTACGTCAATGCCTTTTAAAAATCAGATCCTGCCTGACATTTACTTCGCCTATTATATGTGTATAGTTAAAAAAAAATGGTTACAAGTAAAAGTTTATATTTACATGGGCTTACGTGCTCATTCCAACACTGAATTCTCTTTCCCAAGAAGGTTACCTTAGACACATAAATCACAAACCAGTTTTAAATGATTAATTTTTTGTTATACTGCCTTAAGGCAATTTTATTAAGATTAATTTGTATTAAGAATAGTTTTGAAAAATGTGGGACATTTAAGCAGAGAGTTCACAGCTCATATAACAGTCCATGTTAAAAATGCTGGTTCGTTACAGTGAAAGCATACAGAAATAGAAACCGTTCAAGTAAGACTAAATATAGTGTACTTCTCTTCCATGCAGGGTGTAGCGCCTTTTTCCATTGCTGGCTTAGATAGGCGCGAAAACTTGAAACCTTAGATTTTATGACAGCACGGAACGAATATGTGTTAGGTATACATACTACTCCCGATAGATGGCGTTGGGTTCATTTTTTTTTTGTTTAATCAGCGTCACCTAGCGGGAAAAGAATTTCGTTTTATATCAGTCCCCCAATGCATCCGTCAAACAGAAAAAAACATTTATTTCCAATTAAAAAAATTCTAACGCTTCCATTTTAGTTTTAGTTCTGCACGAGAACTAAGGCCAGGAACGATTCCACAAAAGAGCCAAACGGGCACAAAAGTATTGAGAGTAGTTTGAACGGGAACAAAAAGAAAAGCAAGAAAAGTTCGTGTCTTAAGTCTTTCGTTGACTCTATTTGCATACAACTATCTTTCAGTCCTTTTTTGATTAACTTTAATATTCAAACATTTCAAACCAATGGAACCCTATGACAAAAATTTTGTTCTCGCTTCTATTCGTCGCGAATAGTTCAGAGGAGATTAGTTCCCGTTTCGTTCTCTTTTGTTTCCGTTTTGTTCTTTGCCAAAACGGTTCGGCGACTTTTGTTCGCATTTGGTTCTCTTTGGGAACGTTTCACAGGGTTTTGTTCTTACATAATTCTCATTGAGAATATTCTCGACAATTTTTTTCTCATTTCAGTTTTGATTCTGAAGCTCTCTTGGGAACAAAACTACGAGAATAACATTTAGTTTCGAACATACCTTTTCTATTCGGTCCCTGGATTTTAGCCAGAGTTGTTACGTTGTAACATCACTAATAATTTTTTTCGCTAAAACTGGCTATTCCACTTTCTAGTATGCCTTTTTGGCTTTCGTTTAGCTCTTTTGCATTATATCCAACAACCCTCCTCACCCGAAAAATAATCCTGGTTACGAACCTGACTTGATCAATAGTGGTCAAACATCGAAATCTTATCCGATTGGCCTGAAACTCGTTAGCCGGGAATTTTTTCGGTCGCTTATTGTGAATAAAAAAATGCAAAATGGCTGATCCTAAACGTCCGATATAAAAAACACGTCTGTAGTTAGCCTACATAAGTTGTAATTTACGAAGCTTTCCCCAAAGAGGTTACGGTAGGACATTTGAATTTACTTTTATTTTTTTATTATTTTTTTTTTACTTGTTTTTTCCTTTTTTTGAAACTCGTTACAAAGCCTAAAACACTAAATTTTTCCCAGTAAAATAGGTATTTTAATTTTTATGCATTATTTGAAAACTTCTGCTCAGACTGATGTGCTAGTCGTTTTCTATACGATATATCCCAGGGGAAAAAATAGGCACTCTAGTGTCAAATGTGTACTGAAAGCCAAAGGACATACTTGAAAGTTTTAACGAAAAAAATAGTGATAATACAACGTCTCACAAATGGCTAAAAGGGCTACCCTTGCACTTCTAGACCAAAATATCTAAAAATTCTGAGGTGATTTCGAAAGGATTCCTTTTTATGACATCGTAATGCTTCGAATACACTTAGTCCAATCTTTGTTTCAGAAGCCTTGCAGACCTGTGTTGTCTATCTATATATATCCTATGCAACACTAGGGACATTATTTTTTTTAACTCTTCAAACTTTCGTTAACAGTTAGTTAAGCGATATACTCCTTCGACTACTTATAATAGCGAAACATACTAGTTAAGATTATTTTCACGCGTGTTGCTACAAAAAAAATGCACTTAAATATACATACAAAGCAGAATAGAAAGCAAAATAAAAGAAATTATTAAAAACTTTGTTTTTTTTTCTTTTCAGTTGTATGACTCATATTCCTCAACTCCAGCTACATCATCATTCTGGTAGAATAAAACAGGTTGTCTCTGACTGTTTTCTACTAAATATTTTGCGAATATTGTGCAGCAAAACGACGAAAAGGTGAGAACGATTACACATTTATTTTTATAATTGTATTTGTTTACGTATTCATAATTAAATCGTATGTACGAATGTATGCCACCCACCCAAAGCTTCATATGAATTCTATGATCAAATTCAAGATCTTAAAATATTTTTATCGTAACAATTTATTTTAAATAAATAATTGCCCCAGTTTGTACTGAAAAAAATTTTCTTTCTTTGCTTTCTATGCATGTGCAAATAAAACTAAATTTTAATTGAAACATATACGTAAAAGAAAATTAAGCCAATTTCAATGCAATTCTATGCACTTTATCTATTCGTCATCGGCACAAAAATAGAAAGTTCACAATTCGCAAACATTTCACTGGCTGGCTATAAATATCGTTTTGTTTTTATTACACATTTTCTCAATTTTGTATTTATGTACGTACATTAGGATGGTCCTTAAATGTAGGGAGGAAATTTTTACATCAGATTTCC